ATAACGTCACTAAATAACGTCAGATCGCTCTTTTTACTGTGAACTTAACAAAGGCCCCCCTCTCTCTCGCGCCCTCTGTCAGAATGGCTCAGCAGTTCTATGAGTTTGTCAACTACAAGGAGGAGCAGGAAGAACAGAGGAGGACCACCAAGGGGGCGTGTCATCGCTACATCATCATTTTCCAGTCTGTTTTCTACGTCATTTTCCATGTGAGTTCAGAGCCGTTTTTGGATGATGATCCAAAGATGACGTTGATCGTCTTTGTAGAAAGACTGATTCCCCAAAGTTATGATAAGTTAAACAGGACCTATTATGCTCATTGCCACTGTTCATAATTTTATTTTGGGGGTCTAGTAGAGTACATTTACATTGGTTCATAGGTTTACATTTTTTTTCATACTGTGCATCTCTATTCGCCCTCTGCCTGAAACACTCTGTTAGAGCTTTAAGCCTCACCCCTGATGAGCTCATTGTGCTCTGATTGGTCAGTTCACCCTATACTTTCCGCCTCTGTCCTGCAGTCTAAAGGCAGATTCTTGCAAGTAGGCGGCCAATAAGGATTGTATTATGAGGTGACCTCACCATGTCAGGGAAGTAAGGACTGGAATTCCAATGAGGTGTTTCAGGCAGATTAGAAAAGAGTGGTTTCTGTGGTGACAGTTACTCCCTTTGGCATATATTTTGGGGGGTGGTGTATGGCTCAGTGGGCTAAGCCTATGTGCCTCTAATCAGAACGTCGCTGGTTCAAACCCCACCTCATCATGTCTGCAGGTCCTTCAGTAAGGCCCTTATTTCCTTTAGTAAGGCCACTATGGGTGGCTGCCCTTCACAGACAGCTTACTCTACAATGAGCAAATTGAGGGAGGCAATAAACAATTTCCCAATGGGATTAATAAAGTTATTATTATTGGGTCTTAAGGCTGTTTACATGCACATAAAGCTATAAACACACTAAAGGAAAGGGGAAAAAAACATAATTGGTCTCCATTAAGATGAAATAAAGTTAAGATAAGATAAAGACTTTTTTATCCTGAACGAAATTGTTGTGCCAAGGAATAGCTGTCACCGACCAGGATTAACAACAGAGCTTAAATACACCAACAACAAAAAATACAATATAATACAAAAAATACACTATAATACAAAAAATACACTATAATACAAAATAAAATAAGGAATCTGGAATACAGTACTAATAAAATGCTAGTATGAAGAGAAAAGGATAATAAGAGTGTGCATATGCAAATGGTGTAAAAAGGGTGTAAAAAGGGTGTAAAAAGGGTGTAAAAAGCATGTTAACATTTGTCCTGACAGTGAGTAAGTGCAGATGTGTGTCAGTCCGTCTTATTCCAGCCGAATGCCTGTGGGTCAGTTGATGCATAGACACTCATTCTTTCGCGTTTGTGTCTTTCAGCTGTGCCTGGTCTTTGCCCAGCTCCCCATGCTTCTCTTCTTGAATAACTTCCTCATCGACTATAACCACACCCTCTGCAACGTACAGAGCTGCGGTAAAAACACACTTGCTTTCTCTGCGACGTTTCGAAATGTCCTTACGTTGTGTGAGCACTCTGTGGGCTAGGCTCATCATTGTGGTCATTGTAATGGAGTCAAACAAGGTTATCGTACCCACATACCAGGACAGTGGGAGACTTTAGTGATTTCGAAGAAATAAAATTTCCATGTATAGATAGGTGAAATATGTACATATTGTCTAACCAATGTGTATACAAACGCTCCTCAACTTACGAACTTTCAGACCTACGAACGAAGAAGACTATAAACCCAAATTGTGTTCGTTGGGCTCCCGTTTCCTGTCCGCAAAATCAATTGTTTTTTCCTGCGCGCCAATTCCGCCTAGTATGACTTCTGGCCGCTACTCCCGCCGCGCAGCAGCGTAGCGTGCGTACTCCCAGCATCCTAGTGCTTTGTACTTGCGTATACCCTTAAAATGATGTTGAATAATGACTTACGAACATTTCAAGTTACGAACAGCCATTCGGAACGTAACTTGTTCGTAAGTAGAGGAGCGTCTGTATTACCTATATAGAATAGGGTATGTTACATAGGATACGCAATAAGTAATACTTTCGTTTGATTAATATAGGATAATGGTATAGAGTTCACTGTAGAATTGAATGATAGATGTGAGGGTGTGTATAGTGTGAAAATATCCTCCCAAGGGAACAAACTCTGCAAATTCCTTTTTCTTCTGCTTTAGGGTTTTGCACAGTTTATTTACTTGAGCCAGTGTGACAGAAATGGACTCAGACCTGATTTGTCACCATTTTAGTTTCTTGTTTCCAGTCTGTACCTGCAATGTCTTTTGTGTGTTTGTGCGTGTCGCAGGCGCGACGTCGTCCGGGGTGATAACGGGACTCAATAAGACGGTGCTGTCCCATCTGCCTCCCTCTCTGCTGCTCATCAAGGTGGAGAGCATAATGATGGGAGCTGCCTTTCTCGCCATGATTATTGTGAGGCTCCCAGTCGCTCTCCATCGCCTTCCTCTCTCACCCTGAACTTAGGGCTCTTAATCAGCTCCCAAGAAAGGCGCCGTCATACTGTACCTTTTTGAAATGGAAAATGTGAGCCCCCTGTTGGCCACAAACTGTCATTGCATTAAGGGGCCAGGGGGCCCCAAGGTGACTTTTTGAGGGGGGGCCCAGAAACGACAAACCCTGTACTTGGTTAAGTGTTTAGTTGAGATGGGATGAATGTTAAAATTAATATTTACTGTACCAGTATCTATCTTACAAAGCTTTGAAAATCCATATGCCTTGATATCAAAATGAGTGAATAATAATCTATTTTATTTATACTTATGCAATGATATTGATAATATTTATATGCATGCTGTTACCTATTACTTGTAATATTATCATTATTGTTATCAATATTACCATTTTATTTGTTGGGACACAAGGCTGAACAGAAATCCATTTAAAAAAATGATCTTGTTGCATCTCTCACCTCTCATCGATTACCCACAGTTCCTTGCTCTCTGTGGTGCGGCTTACCGGCCCACGGAGGAGATCGACCTTCGTAGCATCGGCTGGGGTAACATCTTCCAGCTGCCCTTCAAGCACCTGCGGGATTATCGCCTGCGTCTGCTCTGCCCATTTTTCATCTACAGCGGCTTTGAGATGCTGTTCGCCGTGACGGGGCTCATGCTGGTGAGCTGGGGGGGTCCATGCGGCTCCGCCGAGGGCCAGCACAGCCCATTCCACACCTGAAACCCCTCACACTGCACACCAGTGCTTCTCTAACTGGTCCTCGGGGGGCCCCCGGCCATGTTTAACGTGGATTATCTGGCAGGCAGTTGGGAGGGAGCAAAAATGTGGGCGGTCTGGGGGCCTCGAGAACTGGATTGAAAAACATCACTGTACACTAACATCTCTGGATCTAAACATCTGCAGTTCTTTATGTGTTATTCTATGCAGATTGACTGGTAATGTTTTCGGTGATGCCCAGTATGACTCATAGATTATAGTCTTTGTTCAGCTCTGTGTGACACTGTAGCAAACGGTCCAGTGTGTATGTAGGTTTTTGAGGTGAAGTTTCGATCAGCTGTTCGAACCCAGGTGTGAGGTCCTCACTGGGTAAGGTTGCCCACGCTGGAGTAGCCCTTCGCCAAACCGGCAGTATGATTAATCATGCTGTTAAATAATTTTTTTAACATGTTAAAGCGAAAAACAGGACCTATACATGTTTTGATTACCCACATATCAATGTTCAAAGTTTCTTCTCCAGTAGAGGGTCATTGAATGTAGATTGTAGTAAAATCTGAATCTAAATCATCTGGAATACTAGTAATAACTACAGATCTGGAGTAAAGGTACTGAAATTATTTAAGCTTGCAGATGCGATTAGCCGAAGTGACATGCATTGATTTTTGATCAAGCAGAACCAGTAAGTCCCTGGGGCAATCAGGAATTGAACTGGTGACCTTCTCATCACAGCAAGCTAACCCACTGAGCCTCACACCACACCACCAAACATGGTCTAAGTTTGTACCTGATAGCTGGAGATCTCTTCCCTCAGGTTCTCTGTCTCTTTCTCTCTGTCTAGTCTTACGGCGTCTGCTCTGTTGGCTTGGAGAACCTGTGGGCCCTGGTGATGGCGTACGGCTTGTCGGCGTCCATCTTCTCGGCGCTGCCGCCGCTGCTGATGTGGCTGCCTCGCTGGGTTCCGCTCCTCACGGGGGCCACGCTGCACCTCTGCATACTAGTCGGGCTGATGATTTGGTCCCCAAAGCCACGCAACCCGAATCTAGAACCCGGCCTCCTGGCTCTAGTCGCGGCGTGGGGATTGGGAACGGCGTTGAACAAGACCGGCCTGAGCAGTGAGTGGGACCCGCGGGGGCGTGACCTGAACTGCGAAGGTTTTCCAAAACATACTTGGAATGTTGGCTTTAAAGCCCTCAATACTCTCAGGCTTCCTCAGAGTGCCGATATCCTTCATGGTCCTTGATCTTCCAGAGTTTATATATTTTTAGGCTAATTTAGGGTTATCTGGAGGAGACTAGAATTCCTTCGGCGTTGAGCGGTCGGGGAGGAGATAAGAGACTCGTGAGACGTAAAACATCCATGAATGCTGCTTGGGGTCCATCAGGTCGTGAGAGAAACAGATCAGCTGACCAACGGGAGGCATGATGTCTGTTAGCTCTGCTTGAGGAAGCTCAGAAGAACTCTCTGCTCTACTGTCAGTCATTTATTATCAGACTTTGTTTCTGCAAGTTATTTTAGGAAAAAGGAACAAAGAAACTCAATTTCTGGTTACACAGCCTGTGAATTTTGAGTTTAGTGGTGGCATGGTGGTGCAGTGGGACCTGGGTTCGAGTCTCTGCCTGGGTTACTTGTGTGTGGAGTTTGCATGTTCTCCCCGTGTCGTCATGGGGTTTCCTCCAGATACTCCGGTTTCTCCCCACAGTCCAAAAACATGCTGAGGCTAATTGGTATTACTAAACCTGGGTTGTTCCCCGCCTCGTGCCTGTAGCTTCTGGGATAGGGTCCAGAACCCCCCCACGACCCAGAAGCATAAGCGGTTTGGAAAATGGATGGATGGAAATGTCCAGTTTAGTTAGCTCTCCCTCTTCCTAAAGCAGCCGTTTGACTTATTTCTCTTCCTTCAGCCCTGCTTGGCATGCTGTACGAGGACAAGGACCGGCTGGACTTCGTCTATACGATATATCACTGGTGGCAGGCCATCGCCATCTTTGTCGTGTACCTGTGGTCCGGACTTCCCATGAGGGTGAGAACGGCGTCAGATATTCCTCCCGTTGTCTCTGCGCTATGGTGGTGCCACTAACCTCGTCAAATCCATCCTCAGGCCAAGCTCTCCATCTTGTTGGTCACCCTGCTGGTGTCGTGTCTTTGTTACCTGCTGATGGAGCGTCGGCTCGTTATGAAGGTTGCTTACCGACTGCCCCGGATCCCCCGGCCGCGGCACAAGGTTTGTGGCCCGATTGTGACATGAAAGAGGCCTGACTGACACCAGCTTGATCAGGGAGTGGGATCGAGATGTCAGTTTATGCGTACGCTTTGTAAGGGGATTTGGAACATCAAAGAATTCCTGAAAGAGTTTTTAAGGTATTTAACATGATGGCCAAGTATCCAAAAAAGGACCACATTTCTTCAGCTTTTTTTTTTGTTTAGCAAGAGGTTGAAACTAAGATCTTCCTGTGGTTTTAAAGCATTTCTAGCCTTTACCCATAATTCCAGTGCACGTACGCCACTGTTTCACATTCCTTTTCAGGTCAAAGGTTATCGCTACCTGGAAGTGGACGATTCTGACGAATCGGACGTGGACAAGAGCGAGGACGAGATGGTGGAAAGGGACGAGGCGGACAGGGACACATCCTCACAAGGCTCCGACGTGGATCTGAGGGAGGGGGAGGTGCCAGGAGGAGGGGGGGCGCGACGGAGGCGTGACAACACGTATGAGCAGGCGGGGGGGATGGGGTAGGGAACAAAGCATTGTGTGCTTGT